AGAAGACTGGAAAAATTATTTGTATACCAACATTCATCAGCATGTAGATAATCCATATAAAGATATTCTTTGTCCAAACCCTATTTATTAATAACTGATATAGATAAATATAAATAATATTTCAAAGCTAAAAATAAAAAAAACAATAAATACTACATGCTTTTAAATTCCTATTTCTTTTTTCTTTTTTCCATTTCTTCTTTAATATCTGCAATTTGGCTTACAATTCGTTCCTATATAATACACAAATATATAATTTTTCTATTTTAAAAAAACATATTAAACGAATATTACTATAAAAATTATTATTAGATAAAATAAAATAATACCGTCATGACAGGGTTATTTGATTTAGTCAAGTCTGTTTCCTTTTTTTTCAATAGTGATTCTAATTCAGCCAATTGTTCTTCTATAAAAAGTATAAAATAATTTCAGAAAAAAATTTCTCCAATCAAAAAAAATTATATTCTAAAAATCATTAACCATTAGAACTCTCTTCGGTATCTTCTTCATCTTCTTCATCGTCTTCATCATCTTCTTCCTCTTCATCTTCGCCCTCCTCCCCCTCTTCTTCTTCTTCTTTTCCTAATATTCCTTCTTCATCAAATTCTTCATTACTTTCATCATCAGATTCATCATCAGATTCATCATTACTTTCATCATTATCTGATGATAAATTTTCCATCATATCAATTTGACGTTCGAATTCTTTCAACAGAAATTCGTCAATTGAATCAATATCTTCCTGCTGCCCTGTATCCTCTCCTTCTGGCTGCTTTGATCCATCAACATCAACTGGTGTTGTTGATTCGGAATTAACAGCGTCTAAATCTACCCATTCTTTTATTTAATGTAATAATTACAATCTCCATTACATTAAATGATTATTATTTTTTCGCATAATTTGATAATAATAATAATAATAATAATAACAATTATAAATCATTTTGATTTTTTGTTATCATAATTTATTAAAATTTACCAAGTTTTACTTCTTCTGCTAAGGAATCATCGTGCAATAATTGTTGAAGTGCCATCTCTATTTCTTCTAATTTCTAATATATAAAAATCATATTTTATTTAAATAGTAATGAAAATTAAAAAATGGCAATCCTTCATAATAGTAATAAATATAAATTTACCATATACCTTATTAGAAATACGCTTTCTAAATCTTGTTTTTCTAACATTTTTTAACGGAGGTGTTATACCATCTTGCCATTCAAATTCATCTATATTGGATGATTCAGTGTTCTCAGTAAATTCTTCTCCTTCCACGATTAACATCTTTAAGATAATTATCATCATCGCCACATTATATTATTATTATCATTATACTCTCCAAAATAACCACGAGAATAAAATCATCTCTCTTACTTGACATATATCTGCTATTTTATATAATTGTCCACCATTAAATGTCTTTTGTGATTCCACTATACAAGGTAAATCTACCAAACGTGCATTATAATCTTTGTTTTCAAAAGTGAAGATTGCACGACGCGGGTCTATTAATAATAAAATGATATAATTA